GAGCGGTTCTAAAACTTACTCTAGAAGATACTCTAGGGTCAGAAGTGCCCTCTAGTGGTTCATTTAGACCTTTACTTTTTTTCTTATTTTCTTGCTCTAGATAGAAGTGCAAAATAACACTATCCACATTTTATATTATTTTTTTAAAAAAACAATTACAGTTCACAGTTTAATTTAGAAAAATATCATACATTGGGTAAAATAAACCCAAACCATCTGCGGTCCAAGCTGGAGTGACTATTAATTAATTATCATTGCTAAGACTTTCTCTTGTAAATACATCATTCTCTGCCATACCGCCAGTATTTATGTACATTCTGCTTCTCGAATGAGTCATTTTATTAAACTCAGAGGAAGGACGACTGGTGGGCCGCCACTGATCCAAGGCTGAAAAGTCTTCTTGATGCTCCGAAGAGTATGAATTCCTCATATTTTCCATTCCTTGTTTCACTTGATTTTGTTGCCATTGGGTTTCCTCTGCCTGGTATGTTCTCTCAACCTGGGTGGGTTAACTCATTTCCTCATGATCTTCCAGACTACCTTCAGTCTCCCCTGCTATGCAATCTCACAGTGTGCTGTGCTTCTTTCTCCCTCATGCCATTTCCTCAACTGCAATAAAACAGTCAATTCTGTAATGATCGTTTAATGTCTGTTTCTTCTGGTAAATCACGAGACCCGTAAGGGCTGAGAATGTGTGTGGCTTGTTCACCACTCTCTCCTCAGCACTTAGTTCAGTGCCCAGCACGTGAACAGACACTATCCTGCAGGAGACTCTTGCCACGCCTCCATTAACATGGTTCAGATCCCACCGTGGAGGAGATTGCATTTCAGAAATAGAATTCTATTTCCTGAATACAATTGGCAATTGCTTTAGGTGCACCAGTAACAGATGTAATAATCTGTTACAAAACTGTTCCAGCTACTCTTTCAGTAGTTCAATTTAAATTTTTAGCTGGCAAAGCAACACTTACAAAGAAGGCAGAATCCTTAGATATGACCCAGACCTTAACAGATCATTTTTTCCAAAATAGAACTAAGGGAAAGACAATAAGATGCCAATGCAGAGGAAATAATAATGAGACTATTTCACGTTGTACAGCCATATCTGTGACCCTAACCCACCCACCTACTTATTCCCAGATTTAGAAATATTCCGGCACCTCCAGGACTTAACCCAGCAACGGTATCTCTAAAATGGACAGGGTGATAGTGTTTATCTACCTGAGGCCCGTAGGCCATCCCAGCCTTATCCTTAGACACTGGAGTCTGAGAACAGGGGAATGGGCTTTCCTGGCGGCGCAGTGGTTGAGAATCTGCCTGCTAATGCAGGGGACACGGGTTCAAGCCCTGGTCTGGGAGGATCCCATGCCGTGGGGAGCAACTGGGCCCGTGAGCCACAACTACTGAGCCTGCACGTCTGGAGCCTGTGCTCCACAACAAGAGAGGCCGCGATAGTGAGAGGCCCGCGCACCGCGATGAAGAGTGGCCCCCGCTTGCCACAACTAGAGAAAGCCCTCGCACAGAAACGAAGATGCAACACAGCAAAAATAAATTAATTAATTAATAAACTCGA